TACCATCTATTCTCTTAATCCATTTGTAATTGTTTCATGTGCTATCACGCAAAAAACGAGCCCGGGAACTAACAGTGTAAAATAATCTGACGAATGTTTTCAAGTGTAAACTCCCTTCTGGCATTCAAATAAGCAACACTCTCATGTTATGACAGAAATAATCTCGAAAGATTCCCATCATAAATGTAACTATTTGACTTCCTTTATAAATTATCTTACTTATAAGACTGATACGGAAACGAGTGATCTTAGAAATTTGCGATGACAGTACCACGGTCTGTGGTAATGGCGGAATTCGTCATCCACGTAATTGCTCTAGATGCCTTTGTCCTGGAGGCTATGGAGGGGATCACTGCACAAAAAGGGTATGTGTACCAATGGAAATTAGTCAAGAAATAATATATCTTCAGCCAGATGGATGCGGAGAGGAAATTTCTGCAAAGGCTGTTTGGGAGGAAATGACATTGATATTTGAGAACCCAGACCCCTCAAAGCAGCCAGATGGATATAGCAAGTGCAACTACTGGATAAATGTTAGTGATGTCTGGGTAACAATTCAGTAACTTGATTCTGCCATGCAAACATCATATTATAGGCACCAGTAGGTACTAAAGTGCAAGTAGAACTTCTAACAATGGAAGCCTTTCCACCCTCAAATAAAGTGGACGGTTGTGTTGCTGCAGGTATCGAGATAAAAACGGAGAAGGATCCGACTCTCACTGGTTACAGGTGCGCAAACAATTTCTATGATTATATTACTTATAACCCCTTACATTCAAGAGCTTGCTCTTGGGATACCGAAGGATGGATATTTGAATCGCATTCTAACCGTGCTGTCATAATCACGTACACTCGTGATCGTGCCCCAAGTCTAGGTGTTCTTCGATATCGTTATGGTACGTTCTCACTATCTCCCCTCATTTCCTTCTTAAATTAATCGCTGATGGTGTTTCAGTGAACGCGGCTTGAGACGCAGTACTGATTTGATACGGTTGAAGAACTGCACCATCAAGTACATGTTATTCTGAAAAAATAAATAGTATAACTTGATCTTTGATAATTAGATGTTAACTCCTCTTGCTTAACAGTGACATGTGGTAAACTAAAGCATAAAGACCTGAAGGCAGAAAGGAGCAGCAATTTGTGTGAACAGTAGAGAGTTCCTCCACCTTTTCCATCTGCATTTAATGAGTTGTCGATTAAGCTTATACTACTTCAAAGAAGGTAAAAAAAGCGTCTTCTGTTTCTTTGAAAGATTGATTATGGGTACTCCCGCAAAGTTTGCATTTGCTGATTCGGGAGAAATTGAGGCATGATGGAGGATGTACAAGAGAAAAATTATGAACAACATTAACGAACACAGCAGCTTAAGGGACAATGGTTCTCACAATTTAAAGGAGCCGCGCTTAGAATATCGAAAATCCGACACTTATTCCAACAGGCGCGCGCCACGGCTCTGGTCAGACCAC